GGGGGTCCTCGCTGCCGGCGTCGGGGGTGGGGAGGCTCGGGTCCTCTCGTCCTCGCTTTGCGGCGGATGCTGAACCCCGGGATGAGGATGCTCTCTGGGCCCATCGGCCTCCGCCCGCGGGTTTCCCACGGTAGTGTCCGTATCCCAGAATGACTGTGATGCTACTAACCTTGTACACGTAGCGCTTTTGTCTTGGGCACTGTGGCAGTCTTTGCTTCGGGTCTCATCCCCCCCCCCCCGCCCCCTTTCTGATAAATACTATAGTATCCCGACACACGTAGATTAAATAGCTCGCCCAGGATCACAAAGGTAGTTAATGGCTTAGTTGGATTCGGACTCAAGGAGGCTGGCGCCAGGATTGTCAACCCTACTGCCTCTTTCATAACGTAACAATAATAATAGAGCTGAACCAGCATGAACATGAGATAAAAGTTTTAAGATACTTACTGTTATTTTATGTGTGTGGATGTATTGCTGCATGTGTGTAAGTGCGCCCGCGGAAGTCAGAAGAGGGCGTCGGATCCCCGGAACTGGAGTTAGGGACGGTTGTTAGGGGCCATGTGAGTGCTGGGAATCGAACCCAAGCCCTCTGCAAGAGTAGCCAGTGCGCTTAAGCGCTGAGCTATCTCTCTAGCTCGGAGATAAGGTTTTAGATAGGTTTCCTCCCCAAAGAGTGTAACAAGTCGTTAAGTGCAGGTTTTTGCCCCAACTTTAAAGAGCCGGGGAGTGGAAAGATCAGTGGTCACAGATCAGTACCAGAGCATCTGCTCACCTGTGTGATTCAGGTGGAAATCCTTGCTGAAATCTTAGGCAGCCATTCTTGAGTCACTAGAAGTAGGTGCTGGTTCTAATTTGGGTCATCTGTGTATCTCCAGAGACTAAGGAAATCATGAGACATCTTGGCTGAGTACACTTTAAGCGCTTTAAATTTCTTTGTGTCCCAAAATTTCACGTCTGATTTACAAAGCTTTGGGCTAAGCATCAACATTGTATTTTAGTTTTGGGTACTTGCAGATTGTAGTTATTTGTGTTTGAGGCTGGTAGCACCTATTTGTGCAGTACTGGAACAGTTCGTAGAGTATTGTAATGTGTATGGTGTTACGACCTATTCTCACTTCTGTGGTTGACAAATGTACCTTCAAGAGCATCTTTTTTCCATCTGTGGATACCCGGGTTGTATCGGGTTCAGCCTTTAGAATTTAGGAGGGAAAGTGCAAAGAGCAAGACAGAATGCTGGGTGTGCACATAATTTTTTAGAATCACAAAGAAAGAGCTGGCAGGTTCCAGTTGGATCCATTTTAGGATTATTTATCAGCTCTTCATCTTCCTAAAGGATCCTTACTGCTTGGTGACACCTCTCCCCCAATCCCAAATGGTGGGCAGCCTGGGCATGCTTTTTCTCAGAGAAGGGAAATGTTGTATCAAGCCAACAAAGCAGAGCTAGAAAAAGGCCAAGCCAGACCTGTCACTCACCCTTGAAGTCTGTAGCCCTTTCTTCATCTAATGAGAGATTAGATCCCAATGAGTACCTTCTGAAAGCAAGGGGGAGGGGGACACTGAAGCCCTTAAGGTCCCTGAGAGGTGGTTGGTGGACACCTGTTCTTCACCCAAAATACTTCGACTTTTGGTTTGTAAACCCGAAAGAGTACTAACTTTCATGATGTAGATTCAGTTTTGCTTAGAAAGAAGCTAGAGCTGATTAGACTCAATGAAAAAACAAGTCAGATTCCTTTCAGTACTTAGAACGTAGAATTTCTTTGTGTAAGAATTTTGGGCTTTTGTTTTTTAAAATACTTCTTTATCTTATGTGTATGAGTGTCTTGCCTGCATTTATGTAAGTGTACCCATGTCCTGCAAATGCCCATGGATGCCAGAAGCCTGTTGTAGCCCTCCATGTGGATTCTGGGAACCGAACCTAGGTCCTCTATGTGATATGGCACTTTCTTGACCATAGCCATGCCATATTAACATTTAGGCTGACTCTAGTCTTTGAAATTATCAAGCAGTTGGCCTAGGGTGTGGGAACATACATCTGCAGGACCCATTTGTCTTGGGAACAGGTCAGCATATCCTGGAGTGCACCTGCTAACTGCAGATTTATGGCTTCTGTAGGTTATGCTTGGCTTGCTTCTGCAAAATAGTAATTGTTGCTTAATAGAATAGAAATCGTTAAGGGGGCTCTCCACCCGTAAGCTTGGGAACTTAAACTTTTCGCCCCTGATTTTGGTTTTACTGTATAAAAGCTTACCCTAGAGGTGGTTTGTGCCTACACACTGGGGTTCCCGCACCCTTGTGTAGCCCTGACCAGCAAAACTTTGAGTGGTCTCCTCTGGTGAAACACCTCACAACATCTAGAAGTGCTCTTAACCACTGAACCATCTCTCCAGGCCTTGTTTTTTGCCTTTTGAAATAGGGTCTCCCTGTAGCCCCACATGACCTGGAACTTGCTATGTAGACCTCTCAAAGGTCTGCCTGCCTCTGCCTCCCAAGTGCTGGGATTAAAGGCGTGCAACACCATACCCAGCTTGATAGATAGATTCTTACACCAAAAAAAAAAAAAAAAGCTGGGCATGGTGACATACCCTTTAATCCCAGCACTGGAGAGCAGAGGCAGGCAGATCTCTGAGAATTTAAGGCCAGCTGGAGCTACAGGGAGACCCTGTCTCAAAGACAAATAAATAAATAATTAATTAATAAATTATGATTAAATAGATAAATAAAATGTTATATTTTGACACTGAAATGCAGCTTGCATTTTACCATTGAGGGGAGGAGGAGGTAAAAAAGAGATACTTAGGGGCTGGAGAGATGGTTCAGTGATTAAGAGCACTGACTGCTTTTGCAGAGGACCCAGGTTTGATTCCCAGCACCGGGTTTGATTCCCAGCACCCACACGGCGGCTACGGACCGTCCTTAACTCCAGTTCCAGGGGAATCCGAAGCCCTCTTCTGACCTCCACGGGCATTGCACGACACGGGTGCACTCACACACATGCAGGCAATACACTCATACACATAAAATAAAAATAAATTTTTTTTAAAAAAAGATAATTAGAATGAAGGCCTACTCTACTAGACATTTAACAAATTAAAGGAATGAACTGTGGGTCTCAGAACTTTGCCTCCCTGAGCCCTTCCTTAAAATGATGCCCATGTAGTAGACTTCTGCTGTAGACTATTAGAAATAATGAAAAATTAAAACCTGAACTATTAACTGTTGCTTAACTAATTAAATGTAATGCCTTTGGATCAGAGACTTGTAGCACTCACTAAAGTTTTTTTGTTTTTGTTTTCTTTTGTTTATAGGACAAGTGTTGGACAGCCGGAATCAGTCCCCATGGAGGTTATCTTTTATAACAGATTTCTTCTGGGGAATAGCAGAATTTGTTGTTTTGTTGTAAGTATAAGAGTACCTAATTGCACTAATACTTAAGTTGACGTAGTTACATTATATGATGTTGATTGGTTATCTTAAATAAGCTAAGCACCTTTCTAAAAAATATTTTTAATCTTTGAGAATTTGATACATGTATACAATATATTTTGATCATACTAACTCTCCCACTATCCCCTCCAACTACCCTGTCTCCATGTCCCCTCCTTAGTTTAGGTCTTCTTTTTTATAACCCACTGAGAACATTAGTGCTACCCATATGTGCATGGGTGTGGTCCATCCACTGGACCACACCCCTAGAGAAAACTTGTTCTCCCCTGGCAGTCATCCACTGTCAATAGCTTTTCAGCTGGTGATGGGGCTAGTAATCAGACTTGATCCTATGCAGGCAGCCACAGCTGTTATGAGTTCATGAACACAAATGTTCTGTCATATCTAGGAGGCACTGTTTCGTCCTAGTCCTCCCCAACCTCTGGCTCGTTGTAATAGAAATGCCCTATTTATGGCTGAGCACCACCCCCCACACTCCCTGTACTTGGACCAGCTATTAGTCTGTATTAATCGTCCAGTGCACATTATACATAAGGCATGTTAGGTAGGCGGTTGACAGAGGAACTGTAGGGTTGATGAATGTGAGACCTGTAAAAACAGAGTAGGTTAGTGGGCTGGTGACTGAAAATAGAGTGTGAAATCTAATGGGGGCAGTGAAACTGGTGACAGCTCTGGTTTCATGCTGTCCAGGCGAGTTACTAGCAGATGCAAACCAGTGAATGAGGCACAGAGCATAGCACACTCTGTAGACACGGATGAAGCTAGATGTTGCCCAGCTGGCTTCAGGAAGTGTGGGCTCAGACCACTAAGTAGGGTTAGTCACCCTTTCACAGTAAAACACTTGATAATGATGTCAAAGTCAAACTGCTGTTTAATCCATGCATTGGGGTGGCAGAAGCAGGCAGATCTCCGAGTATGAGGCCAGCCTGGTGTCTATAGCAAGTTCCAGACCAGCTGGGGCAATGGCAAGACCCACAAAAAGACAAATTTTTAAGTGATACGTCTTTTCTGCCTCTTGTTTCAGTTTCAAGACCCTGCTTCAGCAAGATGTGAAAAAGAGGAGAGGCTACGGAAGCTCGTCTGATTCCAGATACGATGACGGAAGAGGGTATGTATGGCCTTTCCCGATGGCCGTTGTTCACCCCTTGTGTCTTAGACACTTTAGATACAGTTAGGCTTTGGAAGATTAAGTCTTCTTTCACAAAATTAACAAGTTACTATAAATTACTATGAAGTCAGGTTGCCGCTGATGAGATAAACTGGGGAAACTAAAGTATATGCTGTGGGAAAGGTAAGTGAGAGACTGAAAGCTGATGGCCATCATTAAAACCTGGAGATTTCACATTACAGTGTGAATTTCCAGCTGTGAATGAAACATTCCGCTGGAACAACACTGGGCTGAGCTGGGCTTTCCTTAGAGGAGGAGCTGCGGTTCATGTGCATCCCATGTCTCCTTGCTGTAACTGTTTTGCATTTTTATCCGTGTCGTAAGTAATAATTGCTGCTTTAAAGACTCTTTAGCAGACTAAAGACTGCTAAAGACTGCTTTCTTTTTGTTTGATTTGGTTTTGTTTGGTTTTATTTTTAGTTTTCAGTTTTTTGAGACAGGGTTTCCTTGTAGCCTCAGATGGCCTAGAACTCACCATGTAGACCAGACTGGCCTTGATCTTAGAGATGTCCACCTGCCTCTGCCTCCTGTAATAAAGGCATGAACCACCAGGCTTTTAATTATTTCTATTTTTATTGGGGGCAGGGTATGAGATAGTGCTTTGCTGTGTAGCTCTGGTTGGCCTGGTCCTTGCTACACATCCCAGGCTGGCCTTGAATCTGGGAATCATCTTCTTGCCTCAGCCTTCCAAGGGCCTGAGATAACAGATGTGAGTGTCCATGCCCATCTTTATCTATTAAAAAAGAAAAAGATGAGCTGGGTGTACTGGCTGATGCCTTTAATCCCAGCATTCAGGAGGCAGAGGTAACCAATCTCTGAGTTCAAGGCCAGCCTGGTCTACATAGTGAGTTTCAAAGTCAGCTGGGGCTACAGAGAGACCCTGTCCCAAAAAAAAAAGTTGATTGGTTTGCCAAGCGATGCAGCCAGGTTGCTTCTCTGGAAACTCTGAAGGAGCTGTATGTGCATGGCAGACTCCAGCCCTCACAGGATGTGTGTGTTCCAAAGTAATAGCAGCTTCCTGTTTCTCCAGCACCTGGTCCTAGAATGTGTGCTCCCACTGCTCTCTTGATTCTGTGTGAGAATCTTCAAGCCACCCAAGTCAGCTTTCCCTTTAGTGCCACTGCAGCAAATGAGAATTCCCCAGATCTGTACCCAATACCCTCTTTTAACTCGGGCAGCCTTGGTGTGTAAATCACTAATGGTACACAATTATAGTCAGTAAGCATAGCACCACCAGGCATTTCTCAGCACCAGTGATGCACTCATCCACTTTGTGAGATAGCACTGGACTAGCAGCCACATCCCCAGTAGCACAGGTATCTGGAATTTTAGTTTGAAATCTGGTATTGACTGGAATTTCCACCTCTGGGATCTAGTTTTTGTGTCTACCAAACAGAAAGTATTAACTTTTATCTTTTATTATATTAGGCCACCAGGAAACCCTCCTCGAAGAATGGGTCGAATTAGTCATCTTCGTGGCCCCAGTCCTCCTCCAATGGCTGGTGGATGAGGAAGGTAACTCAAGATCTGAAATTATCCCTGTGGTCCAGCTTGTCCTGGAAGTCACTATGTAGACCAGGCTGGCCTTGAACTCACAGAGATCCGCCTGCCTCTGCCTCCCAAGTGCTGGGATTAATGGTGTGCACCACCACATCCAGCTAATACTTATTTTATGTGTATGAATGTGTTGCCTGCATGTATGCAAGTGTATCTCTGTCACACAATGCCCGAGGAGGTCAGAAGTGGGTGTTGGATCCCCTGGAACTGGAGTTAGAGACAGTTGTTAGTTGCTATAGGGGTTCAAGATTTTAATTTTATTTGTGTATGTGTGAGTTCATGCATATGTATGGTACCCACAGTAGCCGGAAGAGCATCTCAGAGCCCCTGGAGCTGGAGTTTAGGCACTGTGAGCAGTACAACACAGGTGTTGGGAAATGAGCTCTGGTCCTCTGAAGAGCAGCAAGAGCTCTCAGCTGCTGAGCCGGCTCCTGCCCCCAGAAATTGTGTAGTTTATACATTTTTTTATTTAGAAAGATGCCTTTTTTTTTTTTGAGATAGGGTCCAGCCCTAGCTGGCCTGGAACTCACTATGTAGACCAGGCTTGCCTTGAACTCACAGAGATCTGCCTGCCTCTGTCTCCCGAGTGCTGGGATTAAAGGCTTAATCCTTGAAAAATCCAGAAAAGTATTAGTTGTAATTTGTTGGGTTTTCTTCTGTCCACCTTTCCCTGGACCTCTGCCTGCCGCCTCCTCACTCTTTCTACTCTTCAGAATTTCTTGTTGGTTCAGTTTAATAAGTAGCAGCTAACTGTTATAACATCTTTTAGGTAAACGTCTGCTCTGAGAAGCAGGCAACTAGACATGCACATTCCAAGAAGGAAACCATCAGAAAGTGAAGGCGGCCCATGCTGGACAAGATGAAGTGTATGTCTAAAACAAGGATTGCTCTGTGTCCTCACAGATGAATGAGGTCATGCTGGGAATTCCCTCTGCAGGATCTGGCCTGACTGACATGCAGTTCTATAAATGTACATGTTTGTCTCATCTTTTTTGTATAGTTTACTAAAGTATTAATATAGTTTTAATAAGTATTTTTAGGTTGCAGAACTTGGGCTTCTCATGTTTATATAATTAAGTCACAAACCTGATCCTGAAGAAAATAAAAGGTGTGTATTCAGCCCTTCTAAAATACTGTTCACTGTTAATTTGTTTCCGTTTGTAAATAAACCATACCATATTTATTTCAGTAGTATGCATAAAGTATTTGTGCTTTTGAAATTTTATTATATTTACCATGTGAGTAAATATGTCATGTCTGATTTGCTACCAAATATAATTGTTAGGATTTTGAGCCTCAAAATAATGAAGAATCTTCAAAGTCACGGACTAAATGCTACTGTGACAAAATGGATTTTATACCATTGCTCAAGATCCTATTACTGGTTTTAAAGGCCTCATCTGAATAATCATAACTTTCAATAGAAATCCATGTTCCACTCCCCCACTCTAGCTTTTTGAGAGTGGGTCAGTAGGCCAGGGTGGCTTTGAACTTGAGTTCAGCCTACCTCTGCCTTCAGAGTGTGGGGGTTACAGGTATACACCAACTTGTCTGGCTTACCCTAGTCTTCTGAACAGTAACTACATGTAATGGACACTGAAATATTTATTATAACAATGAATAATACAGATGAGTCTTCCAGTGTACAATACCTGTTGAAACCAAAGTATTTAAGTGAATGCTATTTTTCTATCAATATTTACCCATTTGTCAATAAATGGGAATGTAGTAGCATAAGACACTAGTGTTCAAAGATAAAACAAGCAATTGATTGTAATACAAGTTTTAGAATAAGAACAGTTTTTTGACCACTCAATTCTGTCTGATGTGTTTTTAATTCTAACAAAGTGATACAGTAGGTATGTATATGACACTCAACATCTACTCACCTCAGATAGGGAACCAAGGATAAACCAAAGTAAGCATACCACCAAAGTTCAGCTTAGTCAGCTAATGAGTTTTATTGGGGTTACTTAAGGGATGTGGGCGAGGGGTTACAGTAGCAGAAATGACTCAAAGACCGCTGCATCACCAAAGGCCACCCCAGCATGGGTGACAGCTCACGAAAGCAGGAAAGCTTGCTGCACAACATGCAGGCAGCTCAGCAGGCTGGAGAGTATCCTTTCCAGGTAGCTCCGTAGGTCTGAGTCTGCTAGGCAGCACAGCTTGTCTGAGAAAATCCCTCAGCAATCCTTCGGGATTACGTATGCTTGGGGAGAGAGGGGTCTAGTGAATCTGCTCAGGTTCAGGGACTTCTGAGGCTACTGAGTTTGCTTCCTGAGCTTAAGGAGCTTCCCTGCAGGGTGGAATGTTTCACCTCTTAAAACATCCTGTTTACCACCCTTTACCATCTTGTTTTCCTTTAGAACATCCTTTGTTTACCCAGCTTCCTCTGAGATAGGTTTTATCTTGTGCTACACAACAGTAGATGATACTTAAATTATACAAACACATTCAAAGGCTCAGTGAAGTAAAGCTCCCTAGATGTATGCCTGTAAATGGCAGAAACATTCTATTAAACTACAACCTAATTCTGTAGTGGGGAGGATCATGACAATCTCGGGAGATGGTTTGGTGTTAGCACTAGCTAACACTCTGGCCTGTGATGATCTTCTGTCCCCCAAGACTGCAGATATAGGCCTTCCTCAGGACTTGTGGACTACCAACAGGATAAATTTGCACTGGGTCTCTTATGCTGTCAGGCAAACTATATAACATATCTTTATGTGCATTTATTATTATCGTGGGGTGGGGGGTGACTTAGAAAGAAACGAGCATCCATTGTCTAGCTCCAGCTGCGGCTCATAGCCCGCCATATCAGATGGCTCCTGCAGCATGCCCATAGTCACTGCTAGCTTTCACCCATGTCTCCAGCCAGCAGTCTTGCCTCAGGTTCATAAGTGCCAGGCCAGTCTGTCCTTGAGTACACCTGGCTGCTGCGCATTCCCCATGCCCACCGCTGCATGTTCCTGGTAGCTCGCAGCTTCCGTCCCAAGATGGCGCCACAAGCCCCTCCTGTGGCTGACTCTCCTCAGTCAATTTTCCACAGCAGGCCCCAGCCCTTGGAGGAACCAGAACCCCTGGGGAACACAAAAACGGCATACCAGGCAAAAGAAACAGCAAGAAGTTCAGTAGCCCCTGATGGGAAGGACTTGAGATCAGAAATCAAGTGTAGCTGGATTACCAAGAGTGGGAGGCAGTGGTATGAGGTACAATTAGAAATGGAGCAGGATGGCCTCATTAAGAGCACATGAAGACAAGTTCAGACCGGAGAGATGGCTCAGCATTTAAGAGCATTGGCTACTCTTGAAGAGGACCTGGGTTCGATTCCCAGCACCCAGAAGGTGGCTCACAGCCATCTGTAACTCCAATTCCAGGGGACCGGTTACCCACTTCTGACCTCCATGGGCACTGACTGCATGACACAGTTGCACAGGCATAACACTCATACAAAAAAAAAATATATGTTTTACAAAAAGTTCAGATCCCAGCAACCGGGTAGAAGACTCGGTGTGACCATGTTTACTTGTAATCCCAGGTATGTGGGAAGGAGGCAGGAGGATCCCTGGGGCTGGCTGGCCATCATTTTAGCTCTGGGTTTAGTAAGAGCCCCTGTTCCAAAGAAGTGCATAAGGTATGAATGAGGTCTGTGTGTGGTGCATTTCTGCATGTGTTCTGTTCAAATACTCAAGGTCTCCCTGTTCCCCTAGCATTCCAGACATTTTGTATCCTCTTACAGTGTTTTTAAAAACACCAATCAAAGCCAGGCAAGGTAGCCCACGCCTTTAATCCCAGCACTTGGGAGGCAGAGGCAGGCAGATCTCTGATTTAAAGCCAATCTGATCTACATAGAGAGTTCTAGGCCAGTTGAGGCTACAGGGAGACCCTGTCTCAAAAAAAAAAAAAAAAAAAAAAAAAAATCAAAATGTGTACTGTTCCTGGGGCTGGAGAGATGGTTCAGTCCTTAGGAGCACTGACTGCTCTTCCTGAGGACCTGAGTTCTATTTCCAGCACTCACATGATGGCTAACAACCACCTTTAACTCCAGTTCCAGGGGAATCTGACACCCTCTTCTCACAGGCATTGCACAACATGGATGTACTTAAATACATGCAAGGCAATACGCTCATACACACAAAATAATTTTTTAACATATACTGTTACCTATTTTAAAAAATGAAAGCAAAAAAATCCCTCAAAACTACAAACTGAATTTTTCTTTGTTCAGGGCTCTGCTTTAGAGAAATTTCTCTTTCAGGATCACTGTACTAGCAATAAACAGCTTCCTGTTTTAGCTTTTGGGGTCCTGTTCTCTATTCTAGCCCTGCTGCATTTTAGAGACCAGAGACGGTGAGTTGCACCTCCTTTGTCACTGGAATGCCAGTTTCCGTGGAGCACTGGGAGTAGTGCTCACTCGAGTGCCTGTGGACTGCTTGATCCGTAGGAGACTTGCCCTCCTAGCATATGGGGGCGTAGACTTCAGGAGCACACCAGACTTGGTGAGCACAGGAACTAGCTCAGCTAAGAACCCATCCATGGGGCCGGAGAGATGGCTCAGCAGTTAAGAACACTGGTTGTTCTTGCAGAAGACCCAGGTTTGAATCCCAGAACCCACATGGCAGCTAACAACTGTCCATAATTCCAGTCCCAGGGGATCTGACCTCCGTGGACCTCCTCCCTCTTCTGACCCATTGCCAACATGGGTGCACTTACATGCATACACATAAAATAAAAAATTTTTAAAAACCCATCCACTAAGGAATTTGGTTTTGGAGCCCACCCCAAATGGGCGAAGTGAAGATCTGGGAACTGGGTGAGTACTCACAGGGAAGATAGTTCTACGGTGGCTTTCAAAGACTAAGCATTAGGAGGGCTGTGCATGTGAATGAGATGCACAACTAGAAAGTTACAACTTGGCCAAGAGTCAAAGCAAGGCCCATGGTGAACCTCACAGCTTAGGGTGGCTCTCTTTGGAAAGATGGTGATCAGGCATTGTGTACTCTTGCCAGTGCTAAGAGGCAGGCACCTGAGATACCTCTGAGAAGACAACAGCCAGAGTTGGACTAAGCAAAAGTTGACCCCTGCTTTTCCATTCTTGTGTGTGATTGTTGTCTGCTAGGGGAAAGAAGTGAGTGGCACACAAAATAAGCACACCCCTCTAGAGTGTATGGTGAAAGTTTTTAAGGAAGGATATTCAGGAAATTATGCTGTCGAACTGATTCCCAGAAAACTCCAAACGTGAAATAGACTGACCATCCTTGGGGTGGGATGGCCTGAGGGATTGGTGGACAAGGAGGTAATAAAGTGTTCAAAAACATTGTGGGTGACCCAGGGCATCCGGACCAGTTTCCTCATAGTAGTTTGCTGGTAGGACATAGTCTATTCTCGCCACAATAGTTAAGACTTGTCTAAAGGAAAACTAGGATCATGCTGGCTAGGGTGGCACTGGCCTCAAAATATAAGCCAGAACCTAAAAAGCCTGTTCTGTTTGTGGAACCAGAAGAGATTCCCCCTGCTTTACTTGCCCTGTTCCCTCCACCACCCACACCACCTACACCAGCGTCATTAAGCTGGAGCCTTGGTCCCCCCAGTGCTGGAGTTACTACCTGCCCCTGCTGCAGCTGGGGCCTCACCAGAACCTGCTTACTCGCCAGGAGTTCCTTCTCTCTCAGGGTCAGCCTAAAACTCTCTTGCCTGAAGCCACTCTGGAGCCTCTGGTTTCAACTCCCTACACTCTGGGAAAAGCAGAGAGAGTCCAAGCCAACAGTTCTCCCTACTGTAGGAGCTACCAAAGTGCCTTATAACTGCCACAGGAGGAAGCCCAAGCCCCCCACCCCCCACCCCATGACCAGGAAGGACAAGTGCAGGAAGGCTGGCACATTTTCGTTTATCAGCCCTCCACTGAGCTCTTAATTTGAAAACATCATACACCTTTCTGATAACCCTCAGGCCCTGATTGACTTAATGCAATCTCTTCTGCATTCATACTCCCATATGGGCCAACTGTCTCCAGCTTCTTCCTAATGATACTTAATACTGAAGAAAGGTGCTGTGTCAGCTTTAAAGGGAAAGATGCCCCAGCCGATATAATGTCATGGCCTGTCCCCAAGCCCAGATCCCTGAGGAAGACCCTGGCTGGAACCCTAATGATGAAATAGAACTGCAGAAACTTAAACTCTACCAAGAAGCCCTTATGTATGGCATGAAAGAAGATGGAAACGGGCCACAAACCCAGGAAAATCTCAGTGGAGCTCCAGGGACCTGAGGAGGGCCCAGGTCAATTTTATGAGAGACTGTATGAGGCACTCTGCCGGAAGCAGCTGAGAATCAATGGGTGGTAAACATAGCCTTTGTTTACTCTATGGTCAGGCCCATGGAGACATTTGCTGCAAATTACAAAAGCTAGCAGGCTTTGCTATCATTTATGCCAGCCAATTATTGGAGGTAACCTTGAAGGATTTTGTCGATCAGGAACACGAGGCCAGACATGAGACGGGCCAAAGGATGAAAAAGAAAGTGACTGCTAGCTGCTATACTAGTGGAACATTCGGGGCACCCTCACCCACACCTCGAGGGAGGCTCTGCCATGTCAAGGCAAAAACAGAGAAGCAGGTAGGCAGACATGCCTCATCGAGAGGCAAAATTGGGGCAGAATCAATGTGCTTATTGTCAGTGGAAGGGCCACTGGAAAAACAAGTGCCCTTAGGGACTGAAAAATGCTCACACGGTCCATTGAGAATGTAGGGAGACTGGCAAGTTATGCCCATCCATGCAACAGTGGCACAAATATGGGAATAACCTACCACTCTGATTGGA